TTGCGTGAACATTTGGGCGGCGTTATGCAAATCTTCCCACACAGTGACGTAGACATGTGGGGGCGTGTTAGAATGAGCCATTTTAGGTAGGCGTGGTTGACTCTTAACTTTTATAAAGAATATCTGGATTTGAGACTTTAGTCTTTGCAACTTTACAGATCTTCTTTATGCACCAAGAGCTTGACACTCCAAAGAGAAAGGAAAAATTGGAATCGCAACATATGACCCCTTTAACTCAATGTTTGTCATTCTGAAAGAACCTGTTTCAATCAAGTAGCTTGATCAAATGGTTGTAAAATGAAGCACTTGAGTGAACCGGTGCAGCACTGAATACTGACTTCTGACACCAAACACTGAGTTTTTCTGTGTTGTAACATTCACTCAGACTGATCACAATGATGCACTATACTACTGGATGTGAGCAATCTTTAACAATGACTTATTCTAATGCAGCAGCCCTCTCCACCTCATTTGAATGAATATTTCATCACAATGAAGGTTTATTCTGCTGTGTGCCGGGCCTCCTGCAGCCATTTCTCAATGTTAGACAGAGTTATCACAGGGCCAAGTTGAAAAACAAGGATGTGCGGCTGAGAGGCAACAGTGAGCAATATCTCACAATAACAGCGTCGAGGAAAAGATGCTGTTGACTAGGAGAAAACATAACTGAATTATGCCCAATGAATTATAATGACTGGAAATCAAAAGTAGGGTTTAGACAGCAGATTTCTGCATTATAAAGAAGCATTTGTTTACACTTGTCTAGAAAAAAGGCTAATTAGAGTGTTAAGATCAAGTCAAGTCAAGTCAAGTCTGCTTTATTGTCAATTCTTCCACATGTACAGCACATACACAGAGAATTGAAATTGCGTTACTCTCAGACCCTTGGTACATACAGATAACACTAACACTGGAGGTCTGTGGTGTTATTGTATGTGGCAGCCTGCTTAAGATGCACTAATTATTTCATCAGTGTAGAGTGGTATGGGGCTATGGGCTAAATTATTTGTCTTGACCTCTCGTGTAAAACATGCCAGATTGTTTCATTAATTCATTATCTGGCAATATTAATTATAATGAGGCCAGTGAAATGAAGTGATTAGGATGGAATGCCCTTAAATTAAGGCTCTTAATTCAGAAATGATTTATGCTGATTAATCTACTCTATTAACTCATAATGCATTCTAATGTTCTAATGTACCTTGACATCTGACTATCTTTTCATAAATCCTTGTCATTAAAACATTAGTTGGCATAGAAACCTAACAGGTTTGTTTAAATGGAAATTTAACAATCTATTGAAAACGTTATTTTATTTTTAACAGAACTCAAATGCTTGTTGGTGTGTCAGAGCCCTTTAAAGTGCAGTACAATAAAAGATGAATCTCAATGAGATGCAATTCTTTGATCTCAGCAAGGTTATTCTGCATTCAGCAAATCCATCATCTTGTGTCCTGCAATTTAATTTTCAATATGTCTTTCAACAGTGAGAATTGCGATGAGCTTTCAATAAACTGTCAGTGCAGAGACAAATAATATTCAGATCAATGTTTAGCATTTGAGAAAACAAAGACTATCAGTTGAATCAGCACCAGAGTAAGTCAGACAATATTAAGGGAACAGACAATGTTAAGAGAATTCTCTGTGCCATCACCATGGCAACATGCTTATCATTCATGAATAGGTTATGAAAGAAATGCAATGTGAATCAAAGAAATAAATACTTAATTACTAGATGTCAATTTCTTGGATCGCATTTCAAAATGTGGGTTAAACAAAGAGAGCGATTCCTCTGTGTCTCTTCCCTTGGTTCCTGCTATCTGGACGTGTTGTTAAAGGAAATCTGGAAAGCACAGAGGATTCTCCTAGCTGCTCTTTTCCAGGTGCGCACAGACTATGATACAGCTGCCGTTTCAAATGCAGCACCTGCTAGAATAAGATGGCAATCTTGCGGTCTCTCTTTGAAGCTGAGATAATGTAACGCCGTTCACTGTTTAATCTCTTTCAAAGGCAGGATACTGAGCTTTAGCCCAAACCTCATACTTAGTTTTTTTTTTTTTTTTTGCGCTTTTATCCCCACAAATCCCAGTTTCTCACTTTGAACCACATCAGGTATAGACAATTTATTTTTGTGATGTTATAAATATTCCCATTAGTACTATTCTCCTTAATATTAACGTTTTTGTTAATATTTTGAATTAGATAATATTTTAAAATTAGTTTTCACTTTAATTTATTACAATTTTTTGGAATTTTGTTGTGTATTTTGACAATTAAAAAAAAAAGACAATATATGTCTATATAGTTTTTTAAGTGATTTTTAATTATTGGTTTTAGTTTAATTAGCTTCAGTTATTTTAATATTTCAAGTTCAACTGAACAAAAATGAGAAATGTTGCCCTTAGCTGAAATAAAATAATTTCAATAATTTATTTTTGTTTCAGTTAACGTTTATTTCAAGTAACGGTTTTTATGGTTTTATTTAATGATAATAACCCTGATTCCCATAAGAAAGTAAAATAATGAAGGAGAAAATTCAATTATTTCACAGCAAAAGAGACCCTAATAGTTACATAATATTTAATATTATAATTTATTTTAATAATTACTAGCATAAGAGTTCAGAGAAAATATGTATATTTTTAAATTGCTGAAATACCAAAGATTCCAATCAAAAGTCAATATGTCAATAAGTCAATGTGACTATTTCTCATCAAATTATTCCAAATTATTCCTAATTAACAATTGTCACAGTTATGTATTTCTGAGACAAGTTTGTTCTTATACATATAGTCTGAGACCAGGTTGATACTTAAAGGGGTGGTTCATTGCGATTTCACTTTTTTAACCTTAGTTAGTGTGTAATGTTGCTGTTTGAGCATAAACAATATCTGCAAAATTACGAAGCTGAAAGTTCAATGCAAACGGAGATATCGTCTTTTAAAATTATGGCAGTTTAATGCCTACAAAAACGGCTGGTAGGGACTACAACAAGTTACTTCCCGGGTTCGTGACATCACAAACGCAGAAAAACCCCGCCCTCGGGAAAAGGCCAAGCTGCGCTGCTTTAGAGAAGAGGAAGAGAAAACTAAAGGTGCACATAAAATTCTATTCATATATGAATCACGATTCTGTCTTCTAACGATTCTAATGGATTCACAAGATTCAAAATCAATGTTCTAAAGCAACGGTTCTTAATACTGTTCCTCGCATCCCCCTGCTCTTCGTCTCTCTCTCTCTCTCTCTCTCGCTCTCTCTCTCATTCAGCTCATCTCCAACAATGAACTGTTCCAATTATACACTTATTTTCACATAGCTATGAGAAGCGTTAAACATGGACCCGCGTGCAGTTGCCGTACTGTATTAAGGATTTAATCAGGATAAAACCGTATATTAAAAGCTAACATAAGCAGTAGCATTTACAAATAACAGCGTATCTAAAAGTATAAGAAAACAACAAACAAAAAACATAGGCCTACCATTAAAAGCCGTGCTTGCACAGGTTCTGCACGATCCTCTTCACTAATATCCTCTGCTTCTCAATCGGGCTCAAACTGACGAGCACTAGAGGCGGTTTAGCCAATCACAACACACTGGGCTAGCTAACCAATCAGAGCCCATCACCTATTTCTGAGGGAGGGGCTTCATACAAGAAGGAAATGATCAGCTTGTTTCTCAGAGAAGGGACAGAGCAGTGTGGAGGTAAATTATGTGAAAAGTAATGCGTTTTTTAAATTCGCACGTTAGACTGCACCCCATAAACACAATCAAGCCTAGAAAAAAAACAGTGAACCACCCCTTTAAAAGAAATACAACAAGCTTAATAAATAACCTTTAATAAATAGTTCTTTTTTATAAGATGAAAATGTTTATTTTTTCTTAGTATACAGTATATAGCATTCAACACTGATACTCTTTACAGAATGAAATAGATTTCAGAATTTGTGGCACTGCAAAGCTGTTGTTGAGTGATGCCAGTTGAGTGACATATAGACAGACAAAAAGGACACTGACCTCTGCTGGTTAAAGCAGACAATACACACTTGCTGGGAAATTCCCACAGAGTATCATCATGCTTAGAGTCACAAACATCGATTGCAGTCTGGTCATCTCTGATTGTCTTATTTAGGGGGTTAATGAGAGGTTGGCGACTGCTAGTACACTTAGTGGAGTGTGCTGGTTAGAGTCATCCCTCCCAAACCACATAAAACACTCCCCGGCCTGAGCCTTAGCGTTCATTTGAGACCTCGCTGAGTGATCTCTGGGGAAGCGTCTTCTGAGTGTGTCTTCTCTGCCCTCCGTTTCCTCCGTTTCCTGTTTAGGCAGGAAGTCGGTTCGAGCTGAGTGGTCCCACTTTGCTGTGCTAACCGGACTCAAGATGTCATCATAATGGCACAGGTAGAAATGAGAGTTATGCTGGCGACGCTCATCAAGGCATTTCTTACGGCCGAAACCCTTTACACATGAACACATACACAGTGAAATGGGTATAAAGATTTGAGATATAATAAATAAAATCACTGTTTATCATAATGATGAACTCACCTGATCATACACGTCAATAGTGTGCTGCAGTGCTGTGCAGTTATCATGCACTGACAACGGATATTCTCTGCACATTGTTTTCTGCCATAGAAAGCCTCAACATGAGAATGTTTCTTCATATACAGTAAGGATGAATCAAGATGATTACAGTACAGTAAAAAATTATTTCCTCCAGAAATTTGCTATTTGTAACCAGTGCTGGATGAAATACTTTTTGTAGTCAATGGACATTGCTGAATACAGATTACATTAAGACATTTTTAGTTAGTCATGCAGTCAATTACATTACACATTTAAGGTAATATAATCTGACTTTTTAATTACTTTTGCATTGAACATAACATTACATTACATGAGGGCTTCCCAAACTGGGGTTTGTGAAAGAAATACAGGGGTTCATAAATTGAAAAGCTAAGAATTCATTAAATCTTGATAAATTAATGTTAAATTAAAAGATATAAATTATTTAAAATATTTTAACATAATAATAATAATTAAATATGTAACAATATTTGAAAATAAATTATTTAAAATATTTTCATTAAATTTAATTAAAAAAATGTATATATGTGTATTTTTGGTTTATGCTGTGTGGTCTCTCAATTTTCCATGTAATTATAGCTAGTAGCTATAATTTTAGTAGCTATTTCGAAACATATAGGAAAAAAAAAGTTTTATTAGGCTATTATTAATAACTTACTGCCATTAAGTAATCATACAATGAATAAAAAAGTAACTGTAGTCTGATTGAGCATTTTAAAATAATTTTAATAATCTAATACTTAATATAATATATCATTTTTGGAATTTTACTCCCCAGCACTGGCTGTAACTTTGTAGTTATAGCAATAATCTGAATATGAAATACATGCAAAATATTATAGTGTAAAATATCACTTTATTTTAATAGCAATAGCTAACCTTTTCAGGATTGATGAATATTTTGGGATACCTCTCTTCTGCTTGTGTCAGGGGTTGAGGAACTCCACGTGCCAGCATTGAACCTGTGCTGGTACACAGATCTCGTGTTTGTCCAGTCTGTGACACACCAGTGTGAATAACCTGGAAAATATGCGCAGGCACATTGATAAATAAATCAGTTAAGAAACAAAGAAAGAAAGAACTAGGCAAGAGCAATGTAAAATTCACCTTTAACAGGGCTATAGACTAGTTAAACAAGTGTGGATATCTTACCCAGTTTCCACCCTTGTTCTTCTTATTAAAGTATCTCTTGCCTCCTTTACTCATTGTCACTGCATGAATTTAAAATAAACCCATAACTCAAGTTACTACTAACTAAAGCAGGTGAACGAGAGCAAACAGTGAGAATGTAACCATGGCAACAGAACGCATTCGCTGTTCATAAAAAGCACTAAAAACAAACAACAATAAATATATGCGTTTTTAACACGCAATATGCGGATATACTAGTTTAAAATAATATTATAATATGATAAGAAACGTTTAAAATAATATATAAATATAGTTATTATCTATTTGTATAATATAGTAATAAATGTATATATATATATATATATATATATATATATATATATATATAATTAATTTCAATAATCACATTCAATATATAAAAATGTCGTGGATTAATATAATAATCTAAAACTATAACATGTAAAAAAAACACATAAATACAAAATCTAATTATTTAGGTAAATAAATCTAACTATTTTAGTGTTAAATACCGTAAAATGTGTTATTTATATACTATATAAAAATCTAATACATACAAATAAACCGAAATGTATGAATATTTATTAAATTATATAACCTATATATTCTAAAAACATAACATATTTATATTAATGTGTTGAAAAGTATGTGTAGTATTATAGTCAAAAACACAGTAACACTTTTAGAGCATTTCTACCTTTTTCCACTCCTTTAGCGTTGCTGACGTCACGTGTACTTCCGGGTGAGAGACACAGTAAGTTTGGAGTGATCGCTGAAGCTGCCGAATGACAGACTTAATAGACTTTCCTCAGAAAACAGCGTTGTTTTTTTATTTTTTGTAGTCATCTGAGAGTTATCGAGCGATCTGACAGATTTCTGCATGTGACACACATATCCATATTTGAGATAAAACAGCGAAAAATGTAATGCAACATGGTCTGCAGTGTGGTCCAGTAGTAGTTATGACCAGTTACAGTCTATAAGTGAAAGAATCAGTGATTGTGTGTTTTGAACGTTACCTTCGTGTAATTCGTCGTTTTGTGGAGCTTCTGGCTGGATGGATGAATGTGGTGAATATGAGCTCTCAGGATAAGAAGACAGATTCAGATCCCAGACATGAGGAGGATCAGAGCAGCACAGCATCTGAAGACAACAAACAGGTCTGAGTCACTGCAGCACTGTAACATAATAATGCAACATAATAAGACACTGTCTTTACACACTCAGTCACATACTGCAGCGTTTCACACTGTCTTGTTGCACCAATCATGTGTTCATGTTGCTTTGTATTTACGGAAATGTGGCTGGGTTGTTCTCCAATCAGGAGTTCAAAGATGTTCAGGCCTATTGAGATGAATGGTGACTTACAACCTAACAGCTGTATGTAAAATATTTGTTTATTTATTTATATAGCACAGTTTAATGTAACACCAGGTTGCCCAAAGTGCTTCACAATATCACAATAAAATTACATAAGAACAAGCATAGTCTCAAATAACAACACAAATCACATAACAACATGGATACAATTTAAAATAACTAATACCTTGACTCTAGGGGTCTAACAACTAAAAATCAAGTCAGGAATCTTGGTGTGATTCTGGAGACAGACCTTAGTTTCAGTAGTCATGTCAAAGCAGTAACTAAATTGTGTATGAAATGTGCTATATAAATAAACTTGCCTTGCCTAAAGCAAAAATATTTGTGATTTTAGATGATTTGTCTGGGCAACAATGAAGTGAAGAGTCGTGCAGTAGTGAAGTACTCAGCCGCTCCGCCTTCCTCCTCCTATGCGTTACTACAGGAGAAGACCGACCTCAAGCTGCCACCAGCAAACTGGCTGCGGGAAAATCCTCAGCTGGGCACTGCCGGGACCACCGTACTCGGATCCAGCAGGAAAAGCAACCCCTTCTCCAGGTATCTCTATTATTTCACATTCGTATTTGGCAGATGCTTACAACCCTCTACGCACACCTTGGCAATATAATCGACATTGGCTAGTAAAATTTTTTGTTTACTCGCCAGACTGATATACTATTTTATACACACACACGTTTACTTAGCTATCTAAATGGGGACATTACATAGACTTCTATTGGTTTTATATACAGATAGTTATGTATGCAAGACTCTCGCTCTCTCTCTTTGCATGTGTGAGAAACACGGCGCTATCAGTAAAGCGACGGCGAGGCGTGTGCCTTCACACTAGTTTACGGTGCGTCAAATACAGGTGCGCTGCGTGCTACATACTGCGCATCCATTGAGTACATGACATGATCCATTGAGCGCATCCAAGTACAGATCGCTTGACGGAGAGCGAAACTCTCAAGCGCTCAGTCAGCGTGTTTATCGAGTGAAAATCTGTGTTGAACACCTCTCACACACATACTGGCGTGTAAAATCTAAGAATTTATTAGCCAATGGCTAATGTTAGACATTATTTAGTCGCCCAGAGTAAGATTTAGTCGCATATGCGAGTGATTTGCTCGCAATGTAGAGGGTTGTGCTTTTATCCTGAGTGACTTATGTTCCATTTCCGTTGCTTTCCCTGGGAATCGAACCCATGACCTTGGCATTGCGAGCGTCAGTGCTCTACTGCTCTACATTTCAAATGTATTACATTTTACTTTACGTTTAATGTAAATGTACATATGGCAGTGATGCTGATCTTTCCATGCATTTTTGTGTTTTCTTTGTTCACTCTAGTTTTGGGATGGCGTACGACTTCATCGATTGTATAGGTGATGATGTTGATGTTGTTTCTGATTCAGAGGTGGGTCTGTTGTTTTGTGAATACAAGCTCTTCTTCATATGACATGATAAATTATTAAATTCAAATGGCTTTCTAGAATACTTGATTCTGATTGGTTGATCACAGCACTCTGCTGTCACATATTTTAGTATAATGATATTAGATAATATAAGTGAACATTTATATTTTTACATTTACATTAGATTTGTGTTTTAATAATTATTAATAGGCCTACTTTTATTCAGCAAGAATGTATTAAATTGTTCAAAAGTGACAGTAAAGACATTTATAATGATACAAAAGATTTGTTTCAAGTAAATGCTGTTCTTTTGTTCTTCAGTTTCCACGAAAATATTAAGCAGCACAACTGTTTTCAACATTGATAATAATAAGAAATGTCATTCATATTAGAGTGATTTCTGAAGGATCATGTGACACTAAAGACTGGAGTAATGATGCTGAAAGTTCAGCTTTGATCACAGGAATAAATTACAACAGATATATTAATTATTTATTTTTTTTATATTTATAATTATTTTTAAATAAAATAAATGCTGGCTTGCTAAGAGACCTAGGCCTGGTTTCACAGACAGGGTTTAGATTAAGCCAGGATTAGGCCATAGTTCAATTAGAACATTGAAGGATATTTTATAATGTGCCTTAGAAAATAACATTACTCATGTGCATCTTCAGACAAAACAATAGCACAGACATTTTAAGATATGTCAGCGTAGGTTTCTTTCAGGTAAAACAACCCAGACATGCATTTTAGTCTGGGACTAGGCTTAAGCCTTGTCTGTGAAACCGGGGGCTTAAATTTTGAACGGTTTATTTATTACTTTCTTGTTTATTCTTAATCTAAACAGAACATCAAGAAGTTGCTGAAGATCCCCTACAGTAAATCTCATGTCAGCATGGCTGTTCACAGAGTCGGCAGCACGCTACTGCTAGATGAACTCGACATTCAGGAACTATTCATGAGGTCATCACAGGTAACCGGAAATAGTCACCTTATTTCTCTTAGCTGTATTGTATTTTGTTAAGGAGCCCAAAATGCATCTCAATTTAACCTTCTAGTGGCTATTCCCCAAACCTACAAACAAAATACTGAATTATATAGCAGGAAAACCTTTATTTATGCTGTTCAAAGTGTTTTTATGTACGAAAGGAGTGTTTATGCCATCATAAGCATTAACCTGACATTGCGACTGCCCTGTAGACTGGTGACTGGACGTGGCTGAAGGAGTTTTACCAGCGTCTCATTGACCAAAAGTGGCAAAGAAAGAAGAAAAGTAAAGAACACTGGAACGAGAAGGCAATCCTCTCAAAGTTTCTGTATTACAGGTGAGAATTGACTTTACACGATGGCCATCCCATGACAGTACAGATTTCATAATTTACATTCACAATACTCTTCTGTGCTTCAGTATTAACAGTGATGGGACTGCAGTGCCCGTGCCGTCAGATACAGAGCAGGCGGCAGAGGAGGGTTGTGGGACGGCGGCTGAAGGACCGTCTTGGCCTGCCACCTTCAGCAGTTCCACCACTGAATCCGAGGAGTCTGCGATACCCAAGGAGGTGCGGTCAGCCTTTCCTCTACTTCTCATTTCTCATGTCATGTGCTCTCAGTGTTTTTAAGGCTGAATCATCTTGTCCACTCGTCTCTTTCAGGAGCAGGTGGACACATACGCTTTAGGTCACGTGTCTTCAGTTCCCAAAGAGCAGAATCTGCCCACATTGTTCAATGAAGGAGAAAATAGCCAGGTAATAGCATTTACCTAACATTCCCTAGCTTCCATTATAAATCAGAACCACACTGTACATCACAATACATATGTATTTGTATTTTCTTCTTTATCTTTCTCACTGTCTCAGGATTTGAGGAACGACTTTGTCCGGAATATTCTATGGACATTTGAGGACATCCACATGCTTGTGGGATCAAATATGCCCATATTTGGAGGCGGTCGCTACCCAGCAGTCAGTCTACGACTCAGGTTAGAGTTCTACATTTGTTTTAAATTTTTTAGGAGATATATATTTATTTGGGTATGAATTATTTCCATATTAGTTACATTTGAAGGCTGTACCCTCTATATAGACTCAAGTTAAAAATGTAGGGCCAGTAAGATAAAAAAAAACAAAAAAAAAAACATTTTATTCAACGAGAATGCATTAATCGATCAAAAGTGACATTTATAGTATTATCAAAAATCTAATTAATGCTGTTCTATTGAGCTTACTATTCATCAAAGAATCCTGAAAAAATGTATCAGTTTCCACAAAAATATAAAGCATCACAATTGTTTTCAACATTGATAATAATAATAAATGTTTCTTGAGCACCCCAAACTTTTGAATGGCTATGTATATTATGTACTGTACTATAAATAACCCTATATTGAATTATTTTCGATATTTATTTTAAATACGACACTTTTTTTCTTAACAGGGACAACAACAAACCAATCAACGTTCTCACAGGAATTGATTACTGGCTGGATAATTTGATGTGTAACGTACCAGAGCTGGTCATGTGCTTTCACGTCAATGGCATTGTGCAGGTAAGATGATTTGGTGATTATTAAATAGGTTTGTACATGTTGATGTACTATAATATTCAAATTCCTAATAACTCTCATCTCATTTGCAGAAATATGAAATGATAAAGACAGAGGACATCCCGGATTTGGAGAACTCCACGTTCTCGACGCGGGTTGTGAAAGACATCGCACAGAATATCCTGTCATTCCTGAAATCCAACTGTACCAAAGAAGGACACACATACTGGCTCTTCAAGGGTGGGCGGCTGACATTCTTTAGTTTGCTTTCAAACTGCTTCATCTAAAGTCACTTCTTCAATCGCTGATGTCTGTCTGTTTTTTTCCATCCAGCTAGTGGAAGTGACATCGTGAAGCTGTATGACCTCACAACTCTATGTGAGGAAGCGGCAGAGGAGAAATGCCAGAATCCCTTCACACTTCC